CTTGGGGAGTGGATAACGATTGTCGTACGCTCGAGGCTGCAAAAGGGACACACACACACACACATACACAAGGACATTCGGACGCTTTCAGTCACGACCTGGATACATCACAGCACCAGAGCTGACGACGGGCATGCATCCAACCGGTTCTGGCGGTGACGAGTCAAAGCAAACTACAGACCAAATGCCGTTTGACATTCTGGAGAAGGAGTCTGGAGCATATTCCTCCGGTGAAGCCGAAACGTGCGTTCGTGTCATGTCGGCAGGCCGCAGCTTATGCCTTGGCTGCGCAGCACGTGGCTGCAGCTTGTCAAGCAGTTGGGTCAGCCCCAGGCTGTCAGTCGCATTCTCCTTTTCACATTCCCATTGATCCCTGTCGCCTTGCCGAGGACATCGCGAGGAGCACAGAAGCTCTGCTGACTCTGGGCCAGACATTGCCGACAGCATTGAGACAGCACTCGGAGGCCAGGAGTGCTTTTCTGCGGGGCAGCGCGGCAGTGCACGGGCTTTCCGGAGCCGTCGCGAGGCGATGAGCCGCTTCACGGAATCCGTCCCACAGCTTTTGGCAAGGAACTGTGACATGCGGCCAGCGCGGCTCAGCAGACTTCCCTGCAGCCTGCAGGATGGCGAGCTCGGAGTGGCGAGCTTAGTCTCGCTCGAGAGTGCAAAGACTGGATGTGGATGCATGCTTCAAGCGGAGTGATTCGTGCTGTCGATGCAAAGAACAAGGAATCATGTTCAATCCCACCCTCCTTCGTGAGGCAGCCAATGCAAACTGTGTTACGTGCTTCCGTTTCGCCAGAAGATTTCGTAGCACCACCGGAAGGCCTGTATGAAGTGAGCAAGTGCATGCCGTTCACCCCTCGTCATCAGACAAGTTAATTTATCCGCTAGCCGGAGCCGCCTCGGAGCCGGCTCCGAGATGAGCTAAAAGCTTTTCCGCAGCTGTTTCATGCGGTGCAAGCAGCAGGAGGGGAAGGGACCCGGAGCGGAAGGGTCAGGGGAGGGAGGGTTCTGTGGCCCAAGCCCAACTCCTGGGGGGACCTACGACAAAACACAGGTGGAAAACAAGGCGCCAATCTGTGGTCAGGCCCTGGGAAGGGGTAGGAAAGGGTAAGGAAGGAGGTTAATACCAAAATTACATGGTCCCATGCCACCTGACCAAGATGCCACTGGCCTCCGGATTGAGAAGGCAGGTTTGAATTAAGTCCACTCCGCTCGGAGCAGGGCTTCCCTGTTCGACGTCCCAGCCCCGTTCTGCAAGCAGATTTCCATCAATCAACACAGAAGGGAATGTGGGGAAAGTAAGTATGATGCCACTGCTTTGACGCCATACCGATCTGGAGGTGTATGGTGCAGTTTGTTCAGACTCCCCTGCATGAAACATCTTACCTTGGTATGGAGCCAGGAAGGCATGAAATCCACACCCTCTCAGTCTGCGGTGCGTCGAGGTAGTCCTGTGTGCAGTTCTTCGCGCGTCCACGGCTGAGGCAGTTGACATCAACGACCGAAGGACACACCAGCCGTGCATCCTGTATGGCGCTCCTGTTTTGAAAGCTTCACTGCCCACTACTTCAGCTTTGAAGGTGATCATAAAGCGAACTCCTGAGTGCCGTGCACAGGATCTTAGACGACACTACGCAGTGACCAAGGCCCAGACCGTGAAAACATGTCAAAGGCGTTTGGCCGAGTGGTCTCTTAGGTACTTCGATGAAGGCAGCGTTGCGGTACGTTGGTTACGCGAGCATGGGAGCCGGTAGCTGCACGATTCTCACATGCTCGATGCTTTTAGCATACATGTCACGGGCGTTTCCGGCCTAAATCGCAGCGCGGCTGCATTCTTCGTGTGTTACGTGCGGCGGTTTTAGAAATGCAGGAGCACAGGCGGAAACGGTCGTTGTTCCACATGTCCTCCTCACACAGCGGAGGATGTCTGATATTGATATCTCGGATGGTGTCCATGCAGAAGTGCAGGACTCGTTTAGAATCGGATCCCGGGTGCATTTCCTCAGAGTGCTTTTCTGGAACGCAGGCTGCTGTGGTGTCACCTTACACACAACCTTACCCGAGTTTATTCCAGAGGTGTGCATTCAGCAGGCAATGAGCAGCCCACGACCGGAATGTGCAGGCTCTTCGTGGTGCCTTTGCTGATCTGCGCATGGCACACGACCTCTGTTGGTTTCGATCCCGGATCCTTCAGAATGATCGAGTAGATGGCAGAGCGGAGTGTGAGCCTTAGTCATTGACTCGCAATAGCCCACAGACGATCATCAGGTCCGCTGCAACTAAGTTTAGCTGAGTGCTGGACTAGCTGAGACTGCCGTTGCTCAGAGCCCATGCGAAGCTGGGCGATGTAGCTTGCAAACGTGATTGTGCTCCAAGTCTTCAGCAGGACTACCGATATTTTTCATCTCTCGCCATGGTTCTACCCATGCCCGGGGGCTGTGATTCGGTGTGGACAGCAGCAAGACAGACTTCTGCTGATTTGTCTTGAATTCTCAGTGACTGTCGACTGGATGGTCTTCCTCGGCTTTGGTCCGCATCAAAAGAAACAGGACACATGGGAACTCTCAGTGTGCAATTCTTGCCGGGGTTTAAGTCTATCGGTCAGGGCACACTGCGTGGCTGGATTTTCCGATCCCCCGTCAGCTTACACGGCAGATCACGGCAGTGACACGACACATCAGGACAATGCAACTGTTGCGTTCTTGGGCAAAGGCTCGGGACTGCAAAGTTCCGATCTCAAACAGTGCGTAAATCCTTGTTTGTCGGGTCCTGCCTGTGTGGCCTTGAGCGTGGGGACATCCAGCCACTGGGCTGCGCCGGGGCTAAAGATGCTCGTAGACTCTGTCCGGTGTTCGTCGAGTCCGGTGTTCGTCGACGTTCAGACCAACTCTCAATATCATTCTCTGTCAACTCTCAAGGGTTTTGACCGGACTTAGGTGTTAGCTTCAGTTGACTACCCGGTCTCAGTGTGGTGTTGCTGTTTTCGAGTGGGGTGTCGCAACCACCCGATGTGGGGATGTGTCGAGCAACTTTACTTGGAAAGCCTTGTGCTAGAATGGCAAATGCATCCAGGTGTGCACTCTGAAAGTACTGGTCGCAAACACATGTTGATTAGCAGATTCGTCTGCTGGCGTGCACGCCTGTGCCCCCGTGGCTTGCTGCTTGCATGTTATCTCACACAGTAGTGTCAAGGCAGGTTTCGATCCGCTTAGTCAGACTCTATAAGTCCCTGCAAGTTTATTCGTGATTTCCAGTGAGAAGGTATCCAACACAGCAGTGTGATGGATCAGAGCCTTTGGTTTCGGTGTGAAACCTCGTCTGGAAACCGAAGCATACTGAAGCCAGAGAGGTGTAGGCATGCCCACGGATGTGATCTGGGAGCCTTTCAGAGTGCCCGGCTCAGCCAAAAGCTGCCGTGCTGTCGTGTGCATGTTTCAGGCCGCTTAGGGCGACTTTATCTTAGCGGCAAATCGATGTAGATTATCCGGGGAGTGTCATCACAACAAGTTCGTCGAAATGGTAAAAGCTTTGTCGAGGCAGCCTAGTGCGCAAGGACGAAAGACAGCACTGCGCGTGGCACAGGTAGGCTCCTACGTTGGACTGTGGTCCGCTGGACCACGTTCAGGATGCTGTCTTCGGCATCTGGGAAATTCCTGCTGGGCAAGTCCCAAGTTGTTCCAAGTGTTGAAGGCAGACAGCAGCCTATTGACTTGATGAAGCACACAATGCCTGCAGTCGGAATGGAGAGACTTGCATGGTCCAGCTCAGGCGGACCCCGAAAGGCCAAGCCTGAGAGGGGGTCCTTTCACAGCCATGCTGAAGGTGTTTGCTGTGATTGTCAAGTGCAGAGGCGCTTGAACAAAAGTCGCCTTCGTCGCAGAGTCATGTGCGGGAGCATGCGGGAGCTGTCGGAGAAGTTTGTTGAGACGGTGCCATTCGCTCTCAGAAATCGATCTGTCAGGAGCCCGGTTTGAACTGGAAGAAGGTCCTGGAAACAGGCATCGCAGTCACAAAGCAGATGAGCTTGATCTGACTTATGGAGCTTGTGCGGCCTTGCCTGCCATGTCACATTCATTACACAGACCAAGCAATGCAAGACGAATGTCTCTTGAGAGTGTCAGCTTGTTGGGGCCGGCGACGGCCGTTCATGCAGAAAACACGTGCACGTGTCGCAGACGACACTGATGGTCAGTCTCAGGTTTCCCTTCCTTCTTCGCCTACTGTAGCCTTAGAAATCGCCTCGACCACTTTCCACTTGCAGGCAAGGCGACAGCTCCATGTCCACGGAATCACGAAACCCATCCCGTACTCAGACGAACTTCCTGCATCTAAGAGCGCCCTAGCATGGCTTTATTAGCGCCGGTTGCAATTGCAATACTCGAGGGTATGGGTTCAAGGGATGCTTCTGGCCATCTTACATGCGCCTCAGCCTCGTAGCCAGCTGAACTAAGGGATTGCATTCAAGCATGCCTCAATCAACGTGTGTTGGAAGCAAGACATAGAGTGTAGGCACTAAGGATGTGATAATCGCATCATCCGGGCACTTGCAAGGCCTTCGAGAGATGCTTCCCGACCACGAATCTGTCTCGCACTCGGTTCCCGTTCCGTCTTTCGTTGGCGCAGCACAAGGAGGCTCGCTCGACGGCAGCTAATGTTTCGACACTGGATAACTAGATCACGAATGGGCCATAGTCAGCGCCGAGATACTCAACCTTGTCCTCTTACTCGTTCTTTGTTTTCATGTTGGGCCTCCTGGGAGATGCTTTGTACGAGGAGCCCTTCAACTTATATTTGTCAAATCTATGCGACAAAAGCGCAAGCGTGCACATTGACATAGCAGTAACAAAAGCATGGCGTCGTGGCACCGTTCCCCCGCCAAAGGCTCATGGGGTTTCGTGGTTTCGACATGGAAACCTCAGGGGCCACCAGAAAGAGACGCATTGCAGCTCCGCGACTGAAACTCTCTCAGCAGAGCACTTGCAAGGTCGGGGCTTCCAGGCAAAACGCACAAGGCACTAGCACGCCAGCCCGTGCATTCTTTAGAGATTTCTGAGGGACGTGGACATCCTTCCCACTCATCGTGGACATGGGCGGTGCAGCCGCGCTTGTGGGAGTTTGCAGTCTTCGCCCTGCCAGTGACCGCAGGGCGTTGGCACGCGTTTGCTATTGCAGACAGGTGCCGTCAGTGCCAAGCCTCCTTTTTCTGTGGCTCGCCATTTTCAAGCATGCTGGCTTCGCATGGAAACTTTGAGCCAGGTGACGGGAAACAGCGACTATCTGCCAGAGGATCGGGTTTTCAGCACGTCGCACCGGACCATCGTGTTCGCTGTAGGAATGAGGCTCAGGCAATATGCAAACCGATCATCGCAGGGTTTCTCTTGAGAGTGTGTGTTCTGTGAGATTCGGACACTTGAAACACAGGAGGCGATCCTCGTCCTGTTCGCATCCTCACTCGAAGGCCAGGCGACATCGAGTTCAAGAAGCGTGTCTAAGGTTGGACATAATCTCACATTGGCGGACTACCATTCAAGCTGTCTTTCTTGGACACCTTTTAATCCTCGCCCGAAGTACCGGAGAGCTTACCGGTAGACAAACTTGATTGGACTATTACTGTACTAATCGTTTGCAAGTGCTGGGGTGGCCTTGTCTGCAGTGCGCAGGCATCCTCAGCAGCCAAAACAGTGACATGTCTCTTTGCATGCCTGCTTCCGGCTAGAGTTTAAATGTTCGCTCACACAATGCGGGTCCTTGCTGGCACGATAACGGCATGTCATGACACACACACGCACACATGTTTTCAGCAGGATGGTAGGATTGATCAAGGTGAAGCTATTGCGGTCGTTTTCGATCCATGGCGCGATGAGTCTGGGCCTCCGGCAGCAATGCACAACCAAGCACCATGCAAACGTAGGGAGTGATGAAAGCTTTGCAGCTAGATTGTTGGGAAGCTCAGGGTTCTTAGGGAAGAATCTTCCTTGGTCCAGAGGCTTTTCACGGCCATGAAGCAGCATGGTGCCGAGCTGAATGGTATGCCGCTCTCAGGCGAGCTGGGACACGTCGATTCCCACTGTACAGTAGATTGCATGAATGAGTCCTTCGGTTGCAGAAAGTTTGGACAAGACTTTCCATGGATTCAGGTTATTGCGGGCTAGAATGAGCTGCTTTATTAATGATTTAGCAAGAACGGGGTTAGCTGTCGCTGTGGGGGTCCCACTTGAAGGATCTTGGCCCTTGAGGAACGGCATAGACTTCTTGGCATCTGCTCTTCAGAACTAGTCTCGTGTGCTGAAGTGAAAAAGGATCTTCAACGGAAGCTCTGTCATAATTCATGAACTGGAGACCTCGAACACCCGCCTGCTCAGCAACGAAGTCCGGCACTTCGTGGGACAAGGCTCGCCAACAACTGAGAAACAGGTTTGACCCCAACGCCAGAAAGGACTAGACTCTGACTAGGCTCGAAAGTCGGCCGAAGCACTCAACTACACATCCCGATCTGAAATCTGGCTCTCCACGGCCCACTGGTCCACTTCACACATCCAGGCTTCCGTTTGGGTCACGTCTTCGTGAAGCAAGGGTAGATCCCGACGCCCTACTACGCACTCATGTGGAGTGGCATTCTCCAGACCAAATCCTGTAGCCATGAAGCTAATCCACTGTAGCATGATCAAGAACTGCGTACACTTTGGCGCAAGTGGATGCAGTGACATGCCTAGAGTCTAGAGTCAACGCAGCACTAGCTCATATCATGTGACGAGTCACAGGGCCGTTTAAAGAGATCGGCTGAACAAGCATACGCTCCCGGGACAGCGACGGTGGTTGTTGCGGACGCTAGCGGCGGGCCTGAGTCGAGCTTTCGGCAGTCTGTGTGCAGGCCGTCATCGTTCTGGTCGCCTGCGCGATGTCATCATAGGCGCACATCTGTCATCTTCGCATGTTATTTCTGTCCTGTCGTCGCAAGGTTGTGTGGTTTTTGGTTGTTTGCAAAACATTGTATTTTGCCAGGAACAGAGGCCTTGGGCGATCCGAGGCCTCCCGGTAGCAAGCCGCCGGAGCAAGCCCATAGGAGCAACGCGACCTCAGCTGAGGCGGTCGCTGCAAAGCCTCCGCGGTTTGTACTACGCGGGGCCGCCTCGTTCTGCTGGTGTTCGGGCCGGGGCCATGTCAGAAGGCAAATCTCGGTCTGCTGCGCTGCGCTGCGTTCCGCTGCGAGGTTTTTCCAAGTGCTGCTCTAGGCCTTGCATGGGCAAGCGCCCAAGCGCCTCGCAGGATGTTGCATATTTTTGCAGTGCGGCGCGGCCTCCGTGAGGTCGCATGCGGCCGACTGGGCACGTTCGTGGCAGCGCCAGGTGCAGAACTGGCTGCGGGCCAGCTCCTGGCTGCTAAGATCGCGCTAAGAGCATGCGGCTCATGACGGCCTGGGCGCTGATCCGGCCCTTAGGTTTCAGAAAGTGGAGGTGTTCTCCGCACCGACTCGCCAGGCCAGGCAAAGGAAAAACGGGAGTAATGCCGCCTTCCGCAGTGTCTTCGCTCAGGTGGATGGACACTCTCGGCACAAAGTGACCAACTTCTGTCCGAGCTTCGCGTGGTCGGCCAGCTCAGACTTTTTGTGCGTCTGTCACACCAAACTTGATCCGGGGTCGAGTTTGCTGGACATGTTCATCTGGTTGTGCTGGCCACAACTCATGTTTGCACAAGTCCATGTCAGATACCTGCAAGGCCAAACCGCAGCCTCCTGTGCAGTAAACAACACAACCTACTCGTAGAAAATATCAGTACAGAGCTTTATCTGTGGACGCGCCCGGCCAAAATCAGAGCGTGACAGCTGCCATCAGCAACAAGATGCGACGCGGCGGGCGTAGTTGTACGTTTTGTTCCCTTTCATTTCACTTAATTCTCCCATCCTGGCTGTTACCTTCACGACTCAACAGTTTAACTCCTAGAGAGAGGAAGAGAAGAGGAAGAAATCACAAGAGAGCAAAAGTAATGGAGGCACACTTTGTATCTGGAGGCACACTTTGTATCTCTTGTGTTGCCACCAACTGACAAGACAAAAGAGCTGATTAAATATAACCAAAGCAAAGCGTTCCTTATCTCTTTGTCCGTTCCCTTTGTTTCATTAGTTTAATTGAAGGGGCTGCGCCCAGAGTCGGGCAA